TTTTAAATATTTTATTTGATTCTTTAAATGACTTGACATTTATTTTTCATTTTAGTATTAGAGAAGGATATAACTTATGTTCTAAATAGTTAACCAAATTCTCAGCCAGGTGTGGTGGCTCAGGCCTGTAATCCCAGCACTTTGGGAGGCTGTGGTGAGAGGATCTTTTGAGCCCAGGGTTTGAGACCAACCTGGGTAACATAGCAAGATCTTGTCTCTACAAAAGAATCAAAACAATTAGCCAGGCGTGGTGACGTGTGCCTGTAGTCCCACCTACTTGGAAGGCTGAGGTAGCAGGATCACTTGAGTCCAGGAGGTCAAGCTTGGGTGAGCCGTGATTGTGCCACTTTAGTCCAGCCTGGATGACAAAGTGAGACTCTAACTCAGAACAACAACAAAAACAACAAAAAAGTTAAACAAATTCTCCATTAGCATTTATTAAATAATTTATTTTCTCTTTATACTATTTGAAAAGTTTCAAAATTACCATGTATTAAAACTCATCTGTTCTATCAGTTTAGGGAATGACAGGGTGAGTCACTAAGCTATTTGGACAAGATATGAGATATATATTACCCAAGAGTTCTCTGAGCATGAGAACCCTCTACCTCCTGCATTAAATACTGAATGTTTGAACAACCCAGGTGTGTCCATGCACAATGGTATCTGATCACTCAATGTTTATTTCTAAGGGCAGACACTCTGGTGGGGGTCTTTTATTTTTCTGAATTCCTTTGGGGATTGCTGATGGTGAAGTGGAGCCAGCCATCTGTTAATGGTTTCTGGTACTTTATGTTAAATCTCTGGAGCTGGCCAGCTCTTAAAATTCCTCAAGAGGAGCCGGGCTCGGTGGCTCAGCCTGTAATCCCGTACCTTTGGGAGGCTGAGGTGAGTGGATTGCCTGAGCCCGCGGGTTCGAGACCCGCCTGGGCAGCGAGACCTCATCTCCACAATAAATCAAAAAATCAGCCGGGCATGGTAGCGCATGTCTGTAATTCCGGCTACTCGGAAGGCTGAGGTGGAAGGATCACTGGAGCAGGCGAGGCTGCGGTGGCCGGGTGCGGCCACTGCACTCCAGTCTGGGCGACTGAGTGAGATTCCAACTCAAAAAAAAAAAAAATTCCTCAAGAGGAGAAGTGTCTTGATATATTTCTCTGACACCATGTGGGTCAGGAGTTTTATAGTTTAAGAAACAATGGAGTGACCTATAATTCCAGTGCTCTGGGAGGCTAAGGTGGGAAGATTGCTTGTGGCCAGGAGTTAGAGATTAGCTTGGGCAATGTAGTAAGGTCCTTATCTCTGAAAACAACAACAAGAAAAAACAGCTGGGTGTGGTGGTGTGTGTATGTAATCCTAGCTACTTGGGAGGCTGAGGCAGGAGGATACCTTGAGCCCAGGAATTCAGGGCCACCGTGAGTTAAGATCATGCTATTGTACCTTAGCCTGGGTGACAGAGTGAGACCCTGTCTCAAAAAAAAAAAAAAAAAAAAAAAAGCCACCCCCTTCAAAAAAAAAAATAATAATGAAGAATTTCTCACTACCAGGCACTTCTCCAGATGTCACAAATGCAAAAATAAATGTGGTAGTAGCTGGAGATCTCTTGTACGCGCTTGTTTAATGAAATCTGTGATAGAGTGGCAAATGGTGGAGGGCTGCCAGCCTCTACTTTGGAGTCTTGGACTGGGTTGTACCTTTGCTTGTTACTGGTTGAGTGACCTTGGGTCTATCTTCTAACCTCCCTTGTTGCTAAACTATTCCCTCTTTTTAAAAAAAGTTGTTACTTATTATTATTGTTGTTGTTGTTGTTTTATCATCTCTTACAGGCTGCATCTCTTAGCCTAAACTATTCTTATAGTAAAACAGGGATAATAAAATTCTCTCCCCTGTCTTCTGTCACCAGGTTATTTTAAAGGGTTAAATGAGACATTAAATGAGACCTGTGTAGTGCCTGACAGAGAGCATGAGCTTACATTTAATTTGTCTTCGCTTCCCTTGGCTTTATAGATTTTGTCTCCAATTTCTTCTTAGCCCCAGGAGTTTGCTTTCTGTTTTAGGGTTTTGTTGTGTTTTTGTTTTTGAGTCAACTCATAGCTCCGGCTCCTGGTATTCAGCTGGCCACTTTTTTCTCTTTGCCAAGGGTGGGTTCAGATGTCCTAAGGAGAACACTCAGGCCAGGTGTCAGAGCCAGGCTGTGATGACAGTCTGTGGGCTCTTTGTGCATCTGGCCTCCTTAGATGGACTGTGGCCAAGATTCCCCATGTGAGTTTCTGTGGTGAGGGCTGCTGGCTTGTGACAGTGGAAAAATGGCTTGAATCAGGTATCACTGAAGTAGATTACTGAATGTGAGTGGCCTATGGGAGGCAGCTCTCACGTGGGTGAGAAAATAGCAGGTACCTAGTGACTTTTTTTTAATTTTAATTTTGAAATTGTGGGGTACAATTCAGGGTTAGGTATACAAATGTTCATTGTGCAAGGACCCTTATTGATGAGGTGGGCCCCCCCCCAGGTGGATATCGACTACCGTCAATCCCATCTGAACAAACATGATCATTTTGGTAGGACTTTGCCCTCTCGTCGTAAGGATGGGATCTGTAGACAGCACACAGGACTGTTGAACGTGGGTTTACTCGATTTTGCTAAAACTACAGCAGTTTTTAATCCTCTGTAAGTTACCTGAGTTTGAAACACGATTCTCCTTGGTGTGGCCAGACTGTTTTTTCCCCCTAGGAAACATTCATCAGAGTATCCCAGGCCATCTGACCTTAGTGTTGATAACACCTCTCATTTGTCCTTGCCTCTCCTGGCATCTGCTACCTAGGTCAGGTACCGTGGAGGGAGTTATGCCTGGACTGTTATAGCAGCTTCCTAACTGCTCCCTCTCATGTATCCTGTATTGTTCTTCTTTATTGTTTCTACTTGCTTTTCCTGAAATCTTTTTTGTAAAATTTATGTATGTTTGCTCCTCTCTTGTTTAAAAGCTTAGCTATTGCCTATAGGGTGCACCTCAGATTCTTAAGCCTGTTATTTAAGATCCCTTAGATACTGGAGCTAATCTCTTTTCCAGGCCTTATTTTCTGCCACTTTCCCCAGAGTGCCTTCGTCCATCCCTGGTCCCCAGTTGTACTTTCTGTCCTTCACCCTGTGGCGATTTTGCTGATCTGTTGTTCTGTGCCAGGAATGCCTTTCTCTTCCATGGAGTTGATGCTTCACAGTTTATCGAGGACTTTCACACACATTGTTAATAATTTCCATGCAGCCTAACCTCCTGGATGGGGTCTTACCATTTTCCAGTTAACATGAGTGCTTTTAAGTGATTTTCTTTTTATTTATTTATTTACTTGAGGCAAGGTCTTGCTCTGTTACCCACACTGGAGTGCAGTGGTACACTCATGGCTTACTGTAACCTCAACCTCCTGGGCTCAAGCAACCATCCTGCCTCAACCTCCTGAGCACCTAGAACCCCAGGCACATGCCACCATGCCTGGCTAATTATTTATTTATTTTTTTGTCGAGATGGGATCTTGCTGTGTTAGCCAGGGCTGGTCTTAAACTCCTGACTTGACGCGATCCTCCTGCCTCGGCCTTCCAAAGTGCTGGGACTACACGTGGAGCCACCACACCTGGCCATTAAGTTGTTTTTCCTATGGTCTCATAGACAGTAAGATAGCTGGAATTTAAACCCAGACTTTCTTCCATCTTGCCAGACTCAGGTCACAACACCCTCTTTGAACCCTTCCTGCGAGAACAGAATTACTCTCACTTTCTTCTAGGCTCTAGTACAACAAACAGGTTACCCAAACCAGATTTCACAAGTAAATTCCTTATTAGCTCTCTTTTCTCCATATCTAGGGTAGCACCTGGGAGCCAGTAGGAATTTGCTAAGTATTTGGATGAATACACGAATGAATAGATTTTGCTTTCTGTTATCTTCTAATTTGTGGTTTGGGGAGTACAGCACCCTGGTAATCAGGTTACTTAAAACTCCTCTGTGTTGGGAAACATCTATATTTTGGTGTATAGAATAAATAGGGAATGATAATTATTTTCTCCTACTTCTGCCAGTTTCAGAGACATAATTAAGTATTTCATTACTTGAAGAAAGGTTCTTAAAACACATTTAATTATATATATTTCAGGAATGTAATCATTTAGGTAAATTTTATCAAACATCAGCCATACCCAGGATCACTTTGAGAAAAGCCAACTCTCAATGTATTAGTGCCTTCTTCCACAAAAACCCTAACTAAAAAATAATAATATTCTTCAGTTGGTGGTTTTCTGTGTCATATGTGAAATGTAAATAAAAGTATCTTCTGAAGTCCTTGTAGTTTACTGGTCTCTTGCATGTTGGCTTCAAGACAAGCCTCTCCACATCCACTGCTGTGCCAACTTGCAGGAGCTGTCTCCTTTCTGAGTTGTTTTTACATTTCATAGTTCATAGACTAATAAGGTTGCATGCTTTTTTTCCTCACTCATTCCTTGACTTTCTTCTTCATCTGTTTCTATTCCTCTGCTAGCTGTACATTGTCTGAAATAAGGATTGGAGACTACTTGCCCTTATTTGCAGAGCCCACTGCTGCCTCTGAACTCAGAACGCTCATGGGAGAGGGCAAGACTGTGGCCAATATTCAATTTAAGGCCTTTTTCTTTTCTGTCTTTCTTTTTTTCTACTTTCCTTACCTGACCTTGTCTGGTTACTTAGTTTCGAAACCCTTTTGAGCAGTTTTGGTTTAGAATATCCGATTCCTGCTTTTGCTTTTACTCCTTAATGTTTTGACTATGATCAGACTTTTGGTTGAGGGCCTTTTTCTCTCCCAATGAATAAACTAACAGTGGAAGTAAAAAGAAATCACCCACATTCAGTCTGAGTCATGCTAGTAGGACCGTGGGGATCCGTTCTGAAGCAAGCAGGTCACCAGCCAGGTGAATCTCCAGCCTGGATATGCATCTCCACCTTTGGGTTGTAGGTGGGCACACTTCAGGATTCCAGAAAAGACGCCATGGGAGACTATGCCTCTGCACAGTCTGCAGAAGTTCTACAGAAAAACATCTCTGGGCTGCTTTGTGGTGAGATGCGGATCTGAATAAATACAACATTGTTTAATGCCACGAAACTAGTACAGTACTGAGAGAATCGTATCCATTCCATATGAGGAGAAACAAAATGAAGTGGAAACATTTTTTTAAGGAAGTATGACCTGTTTGATTATAGTCACACGTTTCCTTCTCATTTAGCACGTTCTCTTCTTGTGTGAGTTTCAGGTTTGGATTGAGGATCTAAGGATATCCCCACCTCCAAAGGTAGGGCATATGTGTCACAAATCATTAAATGTGAAAGTGTGCTACAAGCCTGCACAGTGTCTCACGCCTGCAATTCCAGCACTTTGGGAGGTGGAAGTGAAAGAATTGCCTGAGCCCAGGGGTTCAAGACCAGCCTAGGCAATTTGGTGAGACCTCGTCTCTACAAAAAATCAAAATATATATATATATTGGTGAGACCTCGTCTCTACAATAAATAAAAAAATTAGCCAGGTGTGGTGGCACATGCCTGTGGTTCCAGCTGCTTGGAAAGCTAAGGTGGAAGGATTGCCTGAGCCCAGCAGGTCAAGGCTGTGGTGGCTGTGAGTGTGCCACTGCACTCCAGCCTGGGCGACAGAATGAGACTCCTGATAAAAAAAGAAAAAGAAAAAGAAAAAGTATGCTACAAGAAGGCAATTCAAATTTGTGTCTCATGGAAGCTGAAATGTATTTCTGTTTTCCTCTTTTTAGTTTAGGGAGTTTAGAATCTGTAGTAACTTTTCTTCCCCATAGGTATTTTTGAAACTCTAAAAATTATAGATTCTCTTCCTAGAAGATTAACATTTGCATGTGCACACACAAAGTTTGGCACATAATTCTTTGACTCCCAGGATGCCTGTGGATTCCAGAGATGGAGTGCCTATAGAGAAATGGTGAGGTTTTGGTAATTTTTGAGGCAAGGACACTTTAAGTCTTGCTCAAGATACAAGGCTTTTGAAGCACATCTGAGAAGTGTGGGTTCTAAGAGTGAATTTAGGCCAGGCATGGTGGCTCACACCTGTAATACTAGCATTTTGACAGACAAAAATGGGAGAATCACATGAGCCCATGAGTTTGAGACCAGCCTGGGTAACATAGTGAGACAGCATCGCTATAAAACGTACAAAAATTAGCCAATAGTGGTGACACACACCTGTGTGTATTCCCAGCTACTTGGGAGGCTGAGGCAGAATGATCACTGGAGCTCGGCTTGTGCCACTGTACTCTAGCCTCGGTGACAGAGTTAGACCCTGTCTCAAAACAAACAAACAAAAAAAGTGAATTTAACAGTAACCATTTGGCACTGACTTTTGGGCGTTGACTCCTGCCCTGTTCTGTTTTCCTCACTTGGGTGTTTTTTTGCCCTTGAGAAGGTTGGGCTGGGGTGATGATTAATCAACAAGTACATATTTAGTTATAAATGGTATATTTCCTCTAGTTCCTTGTTCTGAAAATGCAAATTCCCTTTCCTTTAACTTTTCTTAGGCATCTGACCTGTTAAGTCAAATGCTAAGTGAGTTCTGTGTGTGTAGTACTGTGTTAGATGGTAGCACAAAAATGTGTAAATTAGAACCAGGCTTTGTAAATGATCAAATGGTACAGTTAAGAGGTATTGGGTGATGGTAGGAAAGGAGCGAATGTTTGTTAAGGAATTATGCTAGGTACCTTCCTCCTAAGATAAAAGGAGTATGTGAATTGTGGTATAACGTAGCCCTAAATGAGAAAGCTATTACCACTTGAGTGACCTCATGCATGTTACATCTAAACTTTTTCCTTATATGTAATGCAAACAGCTTGGATGATCTCTGAAGTGTTCTACACCCCAAACCCCTGTGTGATTTTGGTACAGAAATGTCAGTGGAGGAATACCTTACTTAGCTTTATGGGTTTTCGGTTGGCAAGATCCTGAGAACAGATGTCAAAGTGGACAGAAGAGAGAGCAGGTTTTTAGGTGTTGTGTTCTCTTTGGATCTGTGCCCTTTGGGGAGATTTAATCTGCCTTTCTAGAAAGTTGTCTGCATGGACTTTTGAGTCCTCCAGAGGGTACTTACTTGTCCAGCAATAGAGGCAGAATCTTCATGTTATGAGTCTTAGTTATCATTCAGTTAGAGACAGCTTTTGGACATTCCTGTCTTCCTTGAGAGAAGGGGATTTTTTTAACCTGGAACCAAAGCTAAGCTCTCCCCACCTTGTTTTTCCATTTGGCAAGTTTACATATTCTTCTCAAGTTGCCCCCTTCAATTTATGGAGCTCAGATATAACCAGTATTACATTAGATCATAGAGGTTTTGTGTCTGTATCCCCAGCTAGACTGAGTTATTTAAACACAGATGTTATATTCTGTTTTGTTTAGTAGCTCTGCATTGGCACTTTGGAGATATGTATTAGATGTTCAATATGTGTTTGAAATAGTGGATCTTCCTTAGAAGGAATTAACGGGCATCATGTATAAATTCAGTTCAGAGTTGGGGAAAATCTTTGCTCCTAAGAATCACAAGAATGTCTGGAGAAGTGATTGCTAGTCTGGAGATTCTTAGAAAAACCTAATAACAGACACTGGAAACTTTGCCAAGGAATGTGGACTTGGACTCTTTCATTTTGACTTTATTTATGATCTTGTTAAGAGGTGTTCTTTTGCATCAGGCCAATGGGTGGAATTTGCTTGAAGGGCAGGTTTTCTAATAGAAAGCCTGTGGAAGTATCTTCAGTTTCTAAAAGACTTTAACCTGCAAGTAAAGCTTTGAAACAGGTGGCTTTTTAACCCATGGGTCTAAAGAAAAGTCTTTGCCTAGATTTTCTAGTTGGTCTAGAATCCAAAGTAGGAAAATGTGCAACTAACTGTTCAGGGAAGGTACTAACCTAGAAGCTACAGACTACCGGGCCTTGGGAACTCGGAGATACTTGTGCTAGCAACCTCTGAGTTTTTGGAGACTATTTGAAATGAAGATACTGGGGATGTGGCAGGAGAAACTTAACTTCATCATAATAAGCAAGCAGGGACTCAGAACTTGGGACATACTAGTTAACATACATTTTAGTAACTCTCCAGAAAAAAACAAAAAAATAAATTTCTATAGTTTAACATTACATACTGTTTATAGCACTGTTTCCTATCTAGATTTTTAAAAATTATGTAGCCACTTATTTTTTTTTTTGAGTTGAAGTCTCACTCTGTGACCTAGGCTGGAGTGCGTGGCACACTCAAGGCCACCCCAGCGTCAACCTGCTGGGCTCTGGCGATCCTTTCACCTCAGTCTTCTAAATAGTGGAAACTACAGGCACGTGCTACCATGCCCGGCTAATTTTGTGATTTGTTGTAGAGACGAGGTCTCACCAAGTTGCCCAGGCTGGTCACAAACTTGTTTTTATTACATAGCCATTTTTATAATTATATGTACTAGTCAGCATTGCTGTGGTACTAACTCCAAAAATTCAAAGGTTTGCAGTGAACATTTATTTCTAGGTCATGTAGTGTATCAGTGGCCATGAGTCAGTTTCGGTGGCTCTTTCCCACAAGTCTTCACTTCCCATTATGAAGGAGCAGCCCATCTGGGATACACACTAGTTTTAAGAGGAGAGAGAGCAGGAGAGCGGGTGAAAACATGCAATGGCTTTTAAAGGGTCTGCTCTGATCTGGTGTGTGTTCATGTGCCATTGGCTGGAGTGAGTCACATGACCAAACCCAGAATCAGTGGAGTGAGGATGTGTCTTCCTGTGGAAAATCATTTGGCAATAGTAAGAATGATCCTTTTAAAGAAGGGGAGTTCATAATTGCAAACAATAATTCAATCTACCATGTAGTCTGCGCTCTCTCTTTCTTTCACTGACATTATTTAGTAAATACATCAGTTCAGATTTACCATTTTAAAGTGCTTTAAACACATTTTCTCTCTATTATGTATATTAAAAGTTTAGATAATTTGAGGGGGGACCTGACTTGTTGCCAAGGGGTAATGTGGTCGATCACTATAAGAATTCAAGTATTCTTCTATGTATCATTGCAATGCCTAGAATTTCCAGAATGGTTTTGAATAATGGTAACTACTTGGTATCTGAATTTAGTGGGCACACATCCAGTATTGGTGTGGTTATTCATAGCATAGCCTTATAATTTACAATCTTATGTAAGCATAAGATTTAAATAGTTGTCCTCTTGTTGCTTTTTCTTCTTTCTGTATTGGTCAGGGTTCCTAAGTTTAGTTTATCCAATTTGTCTTTTAGAAGAGTTAAATTTTGATTTTGTTGATAACTTTTACTCTTTATGTTTTAAATTTATGCTTTAATTAAATTTTTTTTTTAAATTTTGAAGATGTGGGGTACAATTCAGGGATAGGTATACAGATGTTCTTTATGCAGGTACCCTTGTTGATGAGGTGTACCGCCCTCCCTTATGCTTTAATTTTTTTTAACTTTAAAATCTCTTTCTTCAGGTTTTTTCTTTTTAAAATGAGAGCACAAAATAGATGTAACCTTAAGTGTTCTGTTTCATGGCATACAGCTTTTTCAACTTGCATAATTATATGCTCTTGGGGTCTCTGTGCTTCTTTCTCTGTGTTTCTGTTTCCTTGGATCTGAATGATGAGTTAATATAGGCTGGGTATATATTTTGGTTTTCTTGTGTCTGAATGATGAGATAATGCTGTCTTGGTATATTTTTATGGTTACTCGTGTGTGATGAAGTAATACTAAAGGCCTGCTATTTGCCTCCTATAAGAACTGTGAATTATTACATCCCTTATGTTTCTGCATGATGTCATTAGAATTGTCTTGGATCTTTAGATTACCAGTTGAGTTACCTGTCAGCCAGGAAAGGAGTGGAAGGAAGCCAGTCAGAGTCCTGGGCAGTCCAGGCAGAGAAACTTGGTCTGGTTCCTTCCTGTGTCTGGCTCCATTGTAGCCTACCTTCCTTCTTGTTTTAGCTGCTCTCCCCATGTCAGTAGAGCCCAATCCCTCCAGCATTTGCAATCTGGTCTGCTTTGAGCTTGTTGGACACACTGGGACAAGTGACC